CTCAGGTGGTGAGCAGATGGCGAGACTGGTCATGAAAACTATGGTGGGATTTTCGGGCGGGGTTGGAGGAATCATCTTGTCTACGGCCATCAACGTTGCATTGTCGGGCACGTCCGGCCCTCCCACGAATCCGTGCACCTATGCCGCCACAGCAGATTGGGGGAAGTGCGTGTACGGACAGATTGCAAAGTATGTGGAGCAGTATGTCACCTCCTACGTAGCCAAGGAACTCCAGCACTATACGAACGAAGTGGCAAAGACAAGGCTGGCGGTATGGCACTTGAAGCTGAACGACATCAACGACAGTGTTGCAGTTGACACCAGGAACCCAAGGCAAAACACAACAAGCAACTGGCTGGCGGACTTTAAGGACCCAGTGCAAGCGCTGCGCCTTGACATGGACGGCGAGTGGCTTAGATTTTTGCTGACCCCGGTCCTGCCGCAGTTCTTGAGCTTGCACCTGACTGTGGAGAGCCTCGCACTCAAAGCAAAGCAACTTCGCAGCGCTGCATCTATTCAGAAGTTGGCCAGAGACTCACTGTGCCACGCCAAGATGGTGCTGAAACGTGCAGCCAACCTTACACAGCGACGAGTGGCGAGCCTTCAAAGCCTCATGGTGCATCGAAAGCATCGTGTGGAGTGGGTAACTTCACGCATTGATAAGAAGCTCCACTACGATTGTCCATACTACTACCCTGCGCAGTTCGATGCAGAGTGTACAAGCAAGGAAGCAGTGGATAAATCCAAGTCTACCTGTACTCCAAAGCCTCCATCCGTATCTCCCTGTCAACACAGCCGTTACTGGGGCGACGGAATATCCATACCGTTTATGGGCCTGGGCGACAAGGGGCAGTGTGCCCCTTGGGAGACCACCTCTCCTGGTGGGGCGGCTGCGAGGAGTTGGTTCTGTCACCGGGCCAAGGTTCTTTCCACACAGCAGAAGGTCTTCGAGCAGTGGCTGCAACCCATTTGGAACTGGATCAACATCACCCGGGCCTTGCAGCAGGCCATGGAAGATGGGGAAGTCCCGAAGTGGTCACCGCGGTCGTGGAAGTGTTACGACGAGGCCAACTTGAAGAGCGACCGGGGCCTCTTGGGCCGCATGGCATCTTGCCCTTTCAAGATTCTCACGACCTCCAGCTTCGAAGGCAAGCCCTCCTACATGGACGCGGGCACAGGTGCAGCAACCGACCTGGGCATGTGGAGGCCCAAGAGAGGGAGCAAGGGCCTCTACTATCTCGGTGTCTATTGCAAGGACAGCCATGCCACGGACGACATGCACCTGACGGCCATGCTCTTGCAACACATGCCTGGACACGAGGATTCCTTGAAAGCCCCGGTCACCATGACCTTCAACTGGAATGACCTCCACACCCATGGTGACCATGATGGCGGCTTGTTCACGCCGGGTTGCGCAGAGGGCTACCGCCCGGTGGGGAGCGTCGGTGAGCAGGATCTGCCTGATTCGCAGGCAGGGCCTGACAACCCTCCACCACCCAGCCGATTCAATGGCCTGGTGTGTGTGAAGGCCGAACACACGGAATCAAGGCTACCTTCAGAATCTCTTTTGATAAGCGACTATAGCTGACTATACAGTATGTCTAGGAGTCTATGCCGCTCCACCATTCAAGGAAGAGGTGCATCTCACCAAGGACGACTGGATGTGGACGGACCGTCGCAGTGAAGGGCATTATGATGGTGCCGTCTTTGTAGGCCCTGTCTACATGACGGCAAGTGGTGTGTTGGTCTACGGCCCTTGCCACGCTGCCCGGGGCCACCCGTCTCATTACACGGTGTATCGTGTCAAAGAGTCCCTAGTTAGGTGGTGCACGGGCATGCCGGCAGGGTGAGCGTGAGCAAACTCTAAGCCCGTGAATTCGCATTGCAAGCACAAGCCTGAGAGGTTCAGGGCTTAAATTGACGACGTCCGCAACATGTTGCTGTGTTCAGGGCCAGAGTGTGCTCAGAACTTGCGTGTGAGATTGAATTCACTTTCTGTATCAGGGGTAAATTTAGGCTGGAGATTTCATCAAGCCTTGGTAGCTGCAGCTCTTCGGGGGAAGTCATACTGTTCTTGTTGTATGGAGCCAGTGGTAATGCTCATGCAGTTCTGCACTTGGGCCCGAAATCCTGCATGCTGTTGATGCCCCTCCAACATCCTTTCTTGCTCCTGACAACTTCCTGATCCCGGTCTGACTGGTAAAGGTCGGGGGACAGGTTTGTAACACAGGGGCCAAGGAGGAGCTTTCCGTTGTGGCTCAGTCTCTAGAGCGGAACTTGGGACATGTGGCAGGGATCGTCGTATTCGTTACATGATGTCGTCCCTGCCGACAGTTATCCCAGTCCCATCAATTCACTTGCTGCTTCGACGCTTGAATCTCGTCATAGCGCCTTTGCCTGGCTAAGGCCATTGATACCTGCGATTGCAAAAAAACACCAGGTTCGGTGCTGGTGCTGGTGCAGTCAGCGGAGGTATCCATAGAACATGATTTGCAGAAGGAGCGAAGCCTGAGGCGTGCTACAGGTCCTACAGTCCTAAATTGCGTGGCTGATCCAGACGAGGTCCTCAAGTGTTCTAGACTTGTTTGATGCCATTGGTTTCCACTGCCCGGCCGACTAATCTTGGGCTGGTGTCGAGGGGTGTGGTGGGACGTTCGCAACTTCTACGGGAAAGGGGACTACAAGACGTACTCAGTGTGAGGTCTGCTTTCTCAATGTTCCGGACTCTTCATCTTACATCGCGGAGCCTTGCCGCGACTTCCCGCACAAGGGCGCCTGGTCTACGAACTCGCTTCGGTCTTGTTGCCATGCAAGGTTGCAGACAAGTGATTTGGCTTTGAAGTAGCTTGGCTTGGGGCTCCTGAACGGTTTTCAGTTTCTGCCGAGATGGCGAGGGACAGCCACCAATCTCGCTCCCTGTTGCAACGTCGATAGTGGCCCAGCAGCCTTCTCCACAGCTGTTCAATGCTCAAGCAGAGACAGTAAGTAGCCGTCCCGTGCATCTTTCGGATCACAATCCAGAGGCTGGTGGCTGGTGCTAAACTTGGAGTAGAAGAACTCGCGCAGTTGCCTGTCGAGTGTTGTCTGTGTGTGTGTGTGCGGACTTAAACTTACTTGGTGCGGTTCGCAGCAAGAATGACTCTCATCACGGTCTTACGTAAGCTAGAAGTTCTCAAGCGCACAGTGAGGCGAGACTCTGCGAGGCCTCGATCAATGCAGACGATGGAGGCTTCAGAAGATTGCATCGAGTCCTCGTTGGAGGAAGCGCGGCGTGGCACTCAACGCTTCCCCTACGGACGATGGACGCACATCAACGCCTCATACGAGATCTCCGCCGCCGGGGTCTTTACAGAGAGGCTTCAGCCAGGACAGACTGCACGGGGCCAGCTGCGCCAACATGAAGCTACTCCTTGGGCATGGTCTGTGCAGCTGTCTGAGGATCCGCGTAATGTCGGGCAGATTTCCTTCCAATTGACTGAGGAATGCCAATTGAGATCCGTCTATGTCGACGAGAATGGCCACAAAAAAGGACAACAGCGAGCCATTCGGGGATGAATGCGCTCATGCGCCATGTCGATGCCAAGAATGCATGGGCTGCGAGCTTTAACAAAGTCATGACTTTTGCCACGAATTCGATGCCAGGAACGCACCTCGCTATGCGGGGGCCTTGGAACTGGC